TATTGGCGGTTTTGATGAAGACTGTTTAAAGAAAGAATGGTCAACATTGCATTTAGATTTTACTGTAGCAGAAAAACAGAATTTAAAAAAATTAAATTTTGATGAAATGTGGAAACAAATTTTGCAATGTCAGAATAACGACATTAAATATCCCAATTTAAGATCTCTTCTAAATGCAATTCGATCACTTCCTAACTCGAATGCTGATTCAAAAAAAATATTTTCATATCTGCCAGATGTAAAAATGAAAAAACTAAATAGTCTGTCATCAGTTTCTGTAAATGCTATTTGCGTCGTTAAATCAGCATTACATGCCAGAGGGGAAAATATTTTAAACATGAAAATTGATGACAATCATTTATCTCTCATGTCATCTAATAAATTATATGCTAAGCATCCTACTAAGGAAAAAAGTAGTCTAACATTATATCCTACAGACGATGACAATATTGCTGATCTTTCTTCATTTAATGATATGCAATAATGTCTATAAAAGCAAATGCAAATAAAACCAGCGCCGTGTAAAGTATCTTTTAAAAACATTATGTTTATAAAAGACACCATGTCTGTAAATCTTGTAACCACGATGCTAAAAATTACTCCGAGATCTCGGACAGAGAAAGATTTAACAAATCATATTTAAACAATTCGGTCAATTGACCAATGCGATTAGTCAATTCTCTCTCCATCCGAGATCTCGGAACGATTTCTAGTATCGTGGACACAAAAGTATAGAGATATAAAAAACGAGTATGTACAAAATGTCTGTAAAAGACATCATGTCTATAAGAAACTTCATGTCTGTAAGAGACAATATATGTCTGTAAAAGACTTATTCATGTCTGTAAGAGACATGATGTGCAAAATCCGACCGAGCAACCTCCCCGTGGTGCACATCGGGTAACGCAAATGCCGGCGATACTTATCTGCAAGTAAAGATGTGCAATTTACAAAATTGTGAACTGCAATTGCGTTGTTCCTTAAGTACGCAAATTGAGTGCTTTAATATTTGTAATCTCGAAGGACATGTGCGTTTATTTATTTATTATACTACAAATAAATCATAAATTTTATTATTATTTATTAATAAATATCAAGTGTTATTTATTATGTTCCATTTACTTTAATATGTTTTTACTAGCATAAATGAGTTTATCATAATAATACAATAACTCACATAACGGTAATGTATGATGTGGCGGTCCGCGCCACCAATGATACATCTCTGCGCGATGCCTGCAATACCGGCAGTTCGCAGCAACGCCGCCAGGCGTCGCATAGCCGGGGCAGCTTCGCGAGTTCTAATTTCTGCACCGACTAGTATAAAGGGAGACCCCCTACGGGCTCGAGCAGATCTTCCCGGCGCCAGTCGCCAAAAGCATAGAGCGCCTAGACGCTGAAGCCTCACGGCGCAAGTCGCCTACAAGCGCTAGTCGCTTTCTCGGCGCAAGACGCCTACTCACGGCGCTAGTCGCCTACGACGGCGCGAGTCGCCTACAGCGCTGGCCGCTTCCTCGGCGCTCGGCCGCCTACAACGGCACTAGTCGCCTACAGCGCAAGCCGCTTTCTCGGCGCTCGGTCGCCTAGAACAGCGCGAGTCGCCTACAGCGCTAGCCGCTTTCTCAGCGCTCGGTCACCTACAACGGCGCGAGTCGCCTACAGCGCTAGCCGCTTTCTCGGCGCTCGGTCGCCTACGACGGCGCTAATCGCCTACAGCGCTAGCCGCTTTCTCGGCGCGAGTCGCCTACACACAACGCCAGTCGCCTACAAGGCGCAAGTCGCCCGGCCAGTAGAGGCGCTCGGTCGCCTGGCACAAGGCGCGAGGCGCCCCGCCAATAACGGCGCGCAGTCGCCGGCAAGCCATACACCGCGCACGTTCTTTCACGGTACCGCGTCCGAGTCACTTCGTTTCAGGTTATCACCGGGTACGGACCCTTGCGCGTGGTCGCCTCATCCTGGCATCCCACACATCCGGCGGTAAGACGACAGAAGGCAAGACGCCGCGGCTTTTTGAAGAACAATTTAAGAAGGACAATGATTTTACTCGACGACGGCGGACCCTGCCGATGCCTTTACAAGTTATCTCGCACCGAAAGAGAAACGTAACGCTCTCTTCTTACTCATCCGGGGTAACGAGTGTGAGTAGCACTACCGCGGCCACAGACGCCTCAAAGCACGATGATCCCCCGAAGCGTGCCAAGGTTAACCCGGAGAAGGTTCCGGGCAGCAGCAAAAAGAGACAGACGCGCGACGCCTCTACTGCAACCGATGCTGAGATAACGATGCGGGACGCCACAATTACATCCACCGTAGGTACACAGGCGAACCCGGAGACCACGAATGGGATGCATCGACGCAAACCAAGCAACGAGGGGGTTATCAGGTTAAAGCTAGGTACACTGACACTCACTAAAAATGTAAATAAAATGTAAACATAGTGTGTAAAACTTATCTTACTGTGTCGCCTACATCTCTCTACCCTCCTTTGCGATTCACCTAACTTGGGCTATTTCTACGCACGCACCCAGTAGCTGATTAAGTTAGAATAAGCATAGCTGACTAAGGTAGAATACCGCACGGCAAAAGTAGTAGCGCCCATATATAATAAACGTGTATTATTTAAAATTTAAATAAATAATTTTCAAGGATATAAATATATTAGCATATATTGGTCGCATATCTACACAATTAAACACGATTCTCGCTTTCAAGAAAAAAATACTGGTTGCAAAAATGTAAATTGCTATGCTATTTCTATTTGTGTAAAAAAAAATTAAATTAAATATAAAAATAAAAATATACTACGTTTACGCGAGCGTTACTTCTGTAGTAACTTACAATTCACTCGTTTACGCGGAGTGAATTATCGTAAGTTACTACAAAATCCCGTTTAAGCGAAAGAATTATCGTAAGTACGTTATTATCGTGTATCGTTACATTATTTATTTTTATTTAATATTTAATATTTTAATATTTTAATACTTTTATTTATTTTAGTATTACAAATTGTATGTATTGTGACGTTGCGGCCCGCCGCGCCGCTTCGTGGCAGTGCCCCGCCGCCGTCACAAGACGCGGAAATTCGCGCCCAGGGACGAGCAGCGACGAGAAAGGCGACAGATGGACAAGGCCGCCGATAGCGGGGCCCCAAGCGCCTGGGGAAAACCCGACCTCAGCAATTTGCCTCCACGAAATATCGGCCCGCGGGGTGACTGATCACCGCCCCGAGGTCAAACCGGAGGCACACCGGCCAGAACAAAGTCCAGCCCGCTGCCCAGGGACAGATTGAAAGAGTCGCTACGCCGCCGAGGGACCGTTGCGCGCCCCCGAAGGATCCACCTTACGACGATCCTGCGTTAAAATATCGCGCGAGCTTGCAAGCACGCTCCCGATTGGTCGGCGCGCCCTTACGGAAGAGGGTGCCACATCGATTCCGCAATTGAGCGGATTTAGCGAGACTCTCTGGTCGTCCGTCGGCGAGTCCGAACACGCTATAAAAGTTTCTTTACGATTCGCGATAGCCGCCCCGAGTCGGGTATTCGTTTCGTCCTGCGACGACTGTTGGCACGAGGTGACGGCGAGAAGCCCGAAGAGAAAGCATCGCATCGGTGAGGTTGCTCGCAAGTACTTAATACCGACATGTAAAGCCACGACGCCGCCCTCCGGTGCGCGCTCTCGTCCGGGAAAAACGTTGTAATATCGCGACACGCACGGTCCCGTGAGACCGAGTATCGAATGGCGATCGACAGCGAGAGCGAAGGGCCTCGGGATGGTATCGTGGCCGCGGAATTGGGATAAAGACGTGATAGCGAGCCTCTGGAGATCGCGATAGATTCGTGGCGAAATCCGGGAATGCAAGTCCGTGTTCGTGTGATGTCCGCGCTCGTGGTTGCATCTCGCGCATACAGTGTTCATGGCGTATCAAATTACCAAACATTACTTATGTTGGAATGTCGTCCGCGTCGGCACATTAATCGCGTTAACCTGCCGTTTATATGGGCTCATTGCCGTAGAAAATTATGCGTGTTAGGATAGTTATGTTCGGATGCGTTGTTTCGGTAATTGCGTGTAAGAAGTAGTTGTGCTGGCGGGAGAACGTTATTCGCGTGATTTACTTACGACAGTGCCGTCGTGATTGCGTGTTATTATTGCTCGCGGTAATTCCGTATATTTTTCCTCGCGTTCGTTCCAGTATTCTGCGCTATTTCGAGTATCTCGGCGCATCATTCTGCGCGTTACAAAAATCACTGAAGACAGAGTATTGTATTCGCCCGAATGATTTAAGTTATCCTTGGGTAATTCTCGCGTTAGATTAAGTCCGTATTTTTGCGTTAATTGTAGTATTCCGCGTCTTTTTGCGATCGCGCCGAAAATTATCTCGCGTTATTGCGTTGCGTACGGTCCTCATTACGTTGAGACGTGACTTGCGCCGCGATTCCTACTTGCGTTAAGCTTAAAATAATTGGCAACAGAATTCTCGTGCGACTCGATACGTGGCGTTCACGCGCTTCGAGCGTGACGTACCATCTTCTCTTATTTCCCTGATTATTTCGCGTTTACTGTCGATGTTCTATATTAATTATAAGTTTCTTTTTACTGTATTTTTCTGATCTAATCACAGCGCATTCTGCGCGTTGGCTATACGATACCGTAATACTCCGTTCATTTCTGGCGTCCGCGTTACCACAATTTTGATTGTTTCATTTCTGACGCTCACGTGATTGATTATTTAATTTGTCTGATTAACTGAAGCCGAATCGGCCTTTATTGTGTCACTCCGCCGGATATCGCGCTGCCCTTCATTAACCCCGCCCCAGCCCTTAGGATGTGACCGGACGTCACTCTCTGGGTACGTGGATCACACGAAAATATGAAATCTCAGCCAGATTTGCCTATCAAACGGTCGCCACTCGGTTTGACCTTGATATACCGAGAAGGTAAGTATCGAAATTACAGCACGATATTGCAACAATACTCCATTAATTCTCTTTTATTTTCAGGTTTTTGACGCTGAATGTCTCGACGCCCCGACGCTGCCTCCTCACTGCTGGATCATCGATGGACAACGTGGGACCACCCCCGACGGAACAGGTAAGTAGAAAATGTGTATGTTTAATTAATCGGCCAATTTCCCTTTCAGCTTCTTGCCCCGGATGGATCTCAACTGCCGCTGACTGTCCCAGATCCTCGCCTTATCGCATACTGGAACGCCGCTGGACAACGATGGATCGATGCCGTAGGACAAGGTAAGTCGCAAGTAAGTAATTCAAATTAACTTGACACTGCGTATATTAACAAACGATTGATTTATTTCAGATCGTCGTACTTGATTACAAAGATTGTCGCGCCGTATGCGCTTCACGCTGACACTTTTCGTCGAACGTTGTTATAAATGGTAATTAATTACCGCTCGAAATAGTTATACGAGTTATGTTTAACGCGCAAGTACGCGGGAGTGCTTGGTTGTAATATATCGCTGCGCTAAACTACGCGCTAAGTCCGTATTGTATGAGCGAATCTTATATACGTATTACCGCGACCACGATATCCGAGCGACTGCCACGAGTTGCCGGGCTCTCCCGGCGTTCCCACCTCGGGATCTTTGCTCCCACCATCGGTGTTATTCACATCTCGGTACTTTTCCACGCCAGATGGTGAACGCTTTCTCTTTTCTTATGACAGTTTTTCGATGTTTTCGTGTTCGGTGTCGCCCGCGGTTCTCAATCCGAGCTTCGTAATTACTCGTACGCATACGCATGGGGCCCTTTGGACCCCGCTCCCCTGGTTCCCGAGTCCGAGGTTTGTGCGACCGCGTGGTCCCGCTGACCCCTCGGATCTTTCCCGGCGCCTCCCCTAGTGACCCTCCGTCCGCTACTTCCCTCCGGAGTATCGCGGTTACCGACTTCCGGGGGTCATTGTTTTGACCCCGCTATCTCCGCGGCCGGTAGTATTATCGCGTCGCGGGTCGCGTGGTTGACGTCCGGGTCCCCCCTGAGGCGGATTCCGCGGCCCGGCCACCGGCTGTGACCGCCGTACCCCTATGCGCGGGGGTCATTGTTTTGACCCCGCAATCTCCGCGCCCGGTGGTATTAGCGCGTCGCGGGTCGGGTAATCGACGTTATGGTCTCCCCTGAGGCGGATTCCACGGCTCGGCCCCCGGCTGTGACCGCTGTGCCTTCGTTCGCGGGGGTCATTGTTTTGACCCCGCTATTTCGCGGGCCCTTCGCTCGATTTTCGCCGCTATCTCCTCCGCTCGGGTCTCCTGCCGAGACCCGCTTGTTGTCTTTCCTCTGCGGCTTGCCTGCCGGGGTCAATCAGGCCCCTGTTCCCTTATTTGTCGCGTAGCTATATTCTAAAATGAACGCTAGCCATATGGGCTCTTCGGACTCGCCTATCCGGTATTTAGCCTAAAGAAATATTGATGTCCGCTGCTCCCTTGGTTGCTGCTGCCCCTCGGGTGTCCTCGGCTCCACGGCTAGGCGAACGGTTGCAAGGTCAAGCTAGCCGATTCCTCGCACATCCACACGTTTCGTCTGGCGTCTTGTTTGGTTTTCCTTCGCGATTTCGCGGACGCGAATTCACGCGTCTGGCGCCCAACAGCAAAATCGTTTCGTGAAATGTCGGAGGTGCGAAAGAGTCGTCGGAGAGGCCTGTCATCTTTCTCTCCTTTTCTTCTTTTGATCTGGCACACGCCCCGGACCGCTCCGGGGGTGAAAAAAGCCGTGACATTATATATACATATAACATTGCCAGTGCGTGGACTGCGTGGTAAAACGAAATGCGGACACCCGAGTTATGGTACGGATCGAGCGGGAGGAAAAAGGACAAAAGATCGTGTCTGCCTTATTTTATTTAGCCGAAGGCAACCGAAACACTGAGCGGACACGGACGTGGCTCGTGTTTTGTGTGAGTATCCCCTCCATCTTTATGACGACCGGGCCGCGTCTCATGTTCTGGCCACACTGCTCTTGCTCGAGATCACCGCGGGTAATGATACTGCGCAGCCGCGCGCTACCCCGACGTGGCCGCTCTTCCTCTCGCCGGAATCGCGATCATCGCGGATCGATCGCAAGGTCGATACTTGCCGCAACTGCGCATCGCATTATCGAGCGCACCGTTTTGTTTTGTTAAAATATAATGAGGCGGGCGGGATGTGTATGTATGTATGTATGTATGTATATTTTATTTCATATCCCCGTAGGGTTCAAAAGGCGTTTTTTAAAGGAACGTTCCCAAACCTGTTACATTCTTCTCTACAGCATCCACACCTCTCTCAACGCATCCTCTTAACCTACCTTATACTATCTTAACCTACTTAACCTAGTGGTGTGGATGTGAGCTTCTGCCTCTGCATCCGCCCACACCCACCCGCTGCACACACACACACACCCTCTCCCGCAAGGAACTTCCGTTTCCTCTTGCTTCTATACAACCCGTTTGAACTACTTCTACCCCCCTCTCTTCGGCTTTCCACTCACTCTCACTTATTCTCACCTCATTCCTCTCCCCCTTCCAACCCTTAAAAGTACCTTTTCCTGTTCCTATCTTTCTCGATCTCCCTCATCCACCTCCCACTGCCCATCCATTTCTCCTCTCCCTCCACACCCAGCACCCATCTCCTCGCTTTCTGCCAACTCCCCCTCCTTTATCTTATTCCCTACAACGCTCCCACGTATGCTCCCACGTCTCCTCCCCTCCCTCGCACAGTCTGCACGTCCTTTTCTCCTTTTCTTCCCAATGTTTACCCTTCTTAATTTCGTTTTCCAGCCTAAATCTCGCAATCCTATTCCACCTATTTCCTCTCACTTTTTCTTTAGGTACTCCGGTATCCCTTCCCCTTTTACTTCCTTATACCATTTGCTCTATCTTGACTTTTTTATATCTTTCCATCTCTCTACTCTGCGCCTCCTTTTCCCACTTTATTATCTCTATTTTTGACTCTTTCTCCCCCCTCTCTCTCCCTCTCCCTCTTCCCACAAGCCTCTTTTGCTCAGAAAAATCCTCCTACCCCCTTTCCAACTCGATTTCCCCCTCTCTTCTCCGTTCTTTCCTTCACCTCCTCCCAGAACATTCTCGCTAGCTCGCTTTCTCCTCCCTCCTCCAGCCTCTTTTTGAACCCCCACGCCCTCCTGCCCGCCCTACCTCTTAATTTTTCTTTCTGCAACTCCTTTACCAAGTATCACGGCGTCCTCCTGTCTACTCCCAACACCCATCTCAAATATTTTTCTTTCAGCCTCTCTATCTCCTTTTTCTTTTCACATCCCCATATTTCCACCCCGTTACTGTCCAAACCAGCTTATCAAATAACCAAAGCCTTCTCCCCCAGTCCTTCCCAAACGTCTTCTTCCCTATCCCACACACTTGCCCCATTACCGCCGCCGCCTTCCTGACCCTTTTTTTCACATGCGCCTCTTGCCCTTCATTCCTTTGTAGCGTATACTCTAGGTATCGGAACTCCTTCACTTCTTCCACTTTTCTTCCTTTCCACCGCCAATCCTTTTTCACCATCATGCTTCCTCCTATTCTAAACCTCATGATCTTGGTTTTCTCTGCGTTTAGTTCCAGCCTCTTCTTATCCAGATACCTCCAGCTTCTCCATCATACTTCTCATTTTATCTTCTTTCTCCGCCAGCAGCACCATGTCATCCGCAAACTCCAAATCATACACCCTTCCTTCCCCCAGCTTGATCCCACCCCACCTGACCTTCATCTCCTCTTCCAAATCCGCCAGCAATATAATAAAACGCAGCGGGCTCAGCAGGCACCCCTGCCTTACTCTTCTTGCTGTCCAGAAATTCTCCCCCAGCTCCTTTCTCGCTCTGACTCTGCTTCTTGTCTCTCTCAATACTTCCTCAATCCTCTCAACCAGACCCTCCCTAACCCTTCTCTCCCTCAACGCCTCAATCAACACCACCCTGTCCACCGAGTCAAATGTCGCCTTCAGATCCACAAACAGCGCCACCACCTTTCCCCCCTTCCTTCCTAGTTGTCTATTCACTAGGTAGTTGAGCACATAAATGTTGTCCACCGTCCCCATCCCCTTTTTGAATCCCGTTTGATACGGCGGGATGATCTCCTTGTGCTTCACTTCCTCCCTCTGTCTCTCGGCTAACACCGCCACGTACACCTTGTATAAAGTGGAAAGCAAGGTAACCCTCTTATAGTCTTCTACCCTCTCCCCTTCCCCCTTTTTTAATATGGGCACAATCATTTCTTCCTTCCAACTCTCCGGCCACCTTTCTCCCCTCCATACTTTGTTGCAAAACCCTCTCACCCACTCCGCCAACTCTTCTCCCCCGTGCTTCCACACCTCGCTCGGAATATCGTCTACCCCCGCCGCTTTTCCTTTCTTCATTTTCATTAAGACCCTTCTCACTTTCTCCATACTTATTTCCTTATCTTCCTCTCCCTCCCTCCTCCTTTCTTTCCCTTTTTTAACAACCTTTCCCTCTACCCCTCTAAGTAACCTCATGAAATGCTCCTACCACTCCGCCATCTCTATTCCTTCTGTCACTTTCCTTCTCTTTTTTCCTTTCACTATTAACTAATTCCCACACTTCACTTTCTTTTCTCACTTCCGCCGCCCTTTTTTCCCACCTATCATTCTCCTCCTTCTTTTTCCTCTTGCACATCTCTCTAAACTCTTGGTTCTTCTTTTTATATTTTTCCCCCTCACCTTTCATCCCTTTCCACCTCCTCAGTTTCCTTCTTGCTTTTTTCTTCTCTAGGCACTCCTCATCCCACCAGCCCACTTTTCTTTTTTCCTTCTTATTTAATTCCTCCTCCGTATGTTTTGTTGCCCCCTTTAACTTCCCCTCCATCTCCTCCCACTCCTCTTCCAGCCCCCTCTTCCCCAACTCTACCCCGCCCAGCTTCTGCTTGAACCTGATTCTCCCTTTTTCACTCCATACACCCCTCCAATTTCTTTTTCCTCCTTTGCCTCCTTTCCCTCTTACCCTCTCCCCTTTTAACTATACTTCTACCGGATGATCAGAGTCCACCCTGTTTCCTATCCTCATCCTTTCCACCCTATCTTTTACCTCTCCCTCCCCTATTACATAATCAATCACTGTTCACCCCCTTCCCTCGGTATGTGTAAACTCTCCCTCTTTATCTCCCCTTGTGTTCCTGTTGAAGATGTACCACCCTCTTTTTTCCAGGAAATCCAACATTAGTCTACCCTCCTTATTTACAATCCGGTCCTTTGACCGTCTCTCTCCTTGCCCTTCTCTCCCTTCCTCACCTTCCAGTTTCCCCCTTTTCCCCTGTCCTCGCGTTGAAGTCCCCCTCAATCAACACTCTAACTCCAGCCTCTCTGTCCTCCATCCACCTCTCCAGCCCCCTCAGCACTTCCTCCACGCCCTCTCCCGCGTATACTCCCACTATCCTCCATCTCTCCTCCCCCACCCTTACCTTGCCCGTCATGATGCCCTCTTCCGCCCCCACAATCCTTTCCCTTTTCTCCACCAACTCCTTCCTTATACTCATAATCATTCCCCCCATCGCGCTTCCCACCTTATTCTCTTTCTTCGCCGTTCGGATTTCTGCACTCTCCACTCATACCCTCCCGGTAGTATCTCTTTAACTCTCTTCCACCCTTTATCATCCAACCATGTTTCCAGCGGCACCATCACATCCCATTCTTTCAGCCCTGCCCAAAACTTCTTATCTTTGTTCTCTAGCCCGGCCATGTTCCAAAAAGCCACGATCTACTCTCTTCTTCTCTCTCCCACCCCCTTTCTCTCTCTCTTCACCTTGCACTGCTTACCATTGACGGCATCCTCAAACAGGTTTTCCTCCTAAGACATTTCGAGCATCGTGTCAAAACTATTCTGTTCCCCTTTTTTCTCTTTCCCCTCCTCCTTTCTTTTTTGCTCCCCCTCCCATCCCTCAAAACTCTTCTTCCTCATCCCATTTCCAGCATTGCTCATCTATCCGTATCTTTCCGCCCCCTTTTCTCACTCTTCTTCTTTTTTTTTTTTCCCCTCTCGCGATTTCCTTTAACCTCCACCTCATTTTTCTCTCTTTCCACGTCCAATCCTCCAGAATCCTCTCCTTCCTTCCTTTCAGCTCTCTCTTTTTTTCATGATTTCTCTTCTCTGCTCTTCACTGTTCATCCTTACCACTACCATCTCTTTGTTCTTTTCTCTATCCCCCCACTCTCCTGACCTCCTCTATATTTCCATTTACCCCTATAACGTTTAACACTTTCTCCACCGCCTCCCTCCTCTTTCCTTCTTTAACTTCTAATCCTATAATCAACACGTTTTTTCTTCTCTCTTCACGCTCCTTTTTTTCCATCCTCCTCTCCAATTCTCTTATCTTGTCCCCCACCCCACCTCCTTCTCCCTCCCTCACTACCCTACCTCCCATTCCACCCCCCTCTTTATTTCTCTCCAACTCCTCTACCTTTTTTCCAGCCCTTTTATGCAGCTCATCAACTTCTTCTTTTCTTTATTCCATTTCTCCTCTCGCTCCCTACACTCTCTTCTCAACTCCTCCACTCCCCCCCTCATCAACCTCCCCTGTTCTCTGAGCCTCTCCTTCATCTCTTTCATCATCTGTCTCAAATCCTTTCTCCACCCTTTCACCTCCCTCAAATCACTCATCAACTCCTTCACTTCTTCCCTCCACTTCCTCATATCCACCCTCCATTCGCTTTTTTTCTTTTCCCCCCAGTCTAAAAACACGGGAGGTTTCTTGCTATCTTTATCTTCCTTCTCCCCCCTCTTTCCTGCTTTCCTACATTTTCTCTTTTCCTTTTTGCGTCCTCTCCTTTCCCGCTCCCGACGCTACTGACGCTCCCGCTCCTTGTTCTCTCTGCCCACTCATCATACCTTATCCTCCCAATCATTATCTCTAAGCCGACTCTCTTCTTATATTCTGTGCCCCTGGCCCAACTCCCTCACTGGCCTGCGCGCCGTCTATATTCCACGCACTCCTCGCCCGTGGCCGCTCGACGCTCTCCCCTCTTAGCGTTTCGCGTACTCCCTGCTCGACCCGCTCTCACGCACGCTTTTCTTCTCAATCCTTCTCTTTCGCGACCTGCTTCCACTCTCTCACTTACACTAGCTCCTCCACTCTCTCCCTCTCACACGCACATCTCCACCAGATCACTCTTACTCTCTCACACACTGCCGAAAGCACTCGTCTAACCGCTACGTGACACACTTTATCGCACCGGAAACGGAAGTCCAGGCGGGCGGGATGTTTGAGATTGTAATAATCCGTATCGGAAATCGCATGTCCGTGCACGAACGCTTTCAATAACCCTAAGAGCACAGTTGACGGAAAGTCGACGGTAAGTCGATTTTTATAAGACGACTTCTAGTCGACTTCTAAAAAATGGCGGAAAGTCGACTAAAAGTCGACTTATAAAAGTCGACTTTCCGTCGACTGTTATAAGTCGACTTCTAAAAATGGCGGAAAGTCGACTAAAAGTCGACTTCTAAATAGTCGACTTATAAAAAGACGGAAAACAGTCAAGCGACGCGTCATGCATCATCAATATGGCGGCGAATCTCGAGCAGGCTGGAGTGCTGGAGGAGCAAAGCTTACGCGAGTGCAAGGAATACATGCCGCGAGACAGTACACGATAAGACGTCGAAAAGCGCCGCGCTATCAACCACCGCCACGAAACGTCGTCGTCGTCGTCATCATTGTCTTCCCGTTGACTTCCTCGATTAGATCAGAATACTGGAATTTGACTGTATGTTATGTACGTTGCAATATGTTTGAGACGGTTGTCTACAACAAGAATTGTTACAGAATGCCGTTACCAACCAACATAGAAGCGAAATTGTTGCGCCAGATAGTTCTTGCAGGTATGGCGGATCTAAAAGAGGATCAGGATAAAGCCAAATAGAAACATGCTTACAGGTTAGGTATAGTATGTTATTAATTATCATCAATAATTAAAACTTATTGAATGCGACCTCTCCATTCTGAACCATCTTTCAGAACACCAGAAATGGAGGAACCTGTGTTCATACATTCTTCGTGCGTTCTACGGAAAATCAGTCCAGAATAGGTAGTTTATAAAGAGGTGTACGAAACGAATAAGATGTATATGCGAGGTGTCACGGCGATAGAACCCGAATGATTGCCGAAATTCGCTTCCATGCTGTGCCATCTTAGTGAACCATTGGTTGATCCACCGCCAAGGTATTTTTATCACAATTGTTGCTTTATAATGTTTTTCATATTTATTTATAAAGATATTAATCTTCATTATGATCGAATAATATTCTCATTTATAGATATAATCAAGGAACCGGGAAGATCATTTGCCGCATGTCTGGTACATTTGGAAAGGCCGAATGGGCACTACCATCGATGGATATAGAGCATCCGTGGACGGTGCCAAGTGGTTCGCGTATTTCTTCTTGGAGGGTCAAGTGTACCCTAAGCTGAAACGATTTGTTCCGTCGCTGCTGACAACACCTGGGAGCATCACCAAGTCATGGGCCAGGTAAATCGCTATTCTATCTCCTTTCGATTTCACGTTGATTCATCGAATAGATTACATCAATTCAATACAATTTTTTCAGGTTGATACCACGCACTCAAGCATTAGTACAAACGCTGCAGTCGCAGGGAGTCGTGTCCAAATACAAACTGCTAGAAATCTGGGGTTCGGATAAAAAATGTGAGATTTTAATTTATAAAATAATATTTAGATATTATCATAGACTTCTATACAATACTCGACCGCTGACAGGCATCTCGGCCGTGATGCTTGCCGTCATGTTGATTTTAGTCAAAATATGCTATACTACAGTTTTTATATAAATGGTTTTATACAAGATTTCTATACAATAGTCTGGCATATACAGAATGTCCAAAAGAAAGGGTTTAATACTACAGGAGTAGTGGTTCGATTTTGGCATTCAAGTACGCTACACGTCGAAAGCATGACTTACAAACTTATTGATAACATGTACCAATATTTAACACAAAAACATTCGCCTGTTTCGTTATGTACTGTAATAACGAATGCAGATAAACGCACATCATGAGCAACTGAACACCCGATAGTGACTTATTATTAATTTAATATGGCCGTTCACTAACACTTGCACCTTGCACTCGCATCAGCTTTTCGGCAGTGCGTCCATAGATGTTAGTGGTCTAGTACAAAAGTCTGTGGATATTATATATTTATAATTTTAGTTCTGTTGTCAGCTTACCAGAAGTGGCTGCCGGAATCCGCGCACGCAGAAGTGGCACAGATATGGGCACACAGTGGCCGCCTTTGTAATTAAGAATAAAACATTAGGATTGTAATTATACAGTTTTTTAAATAATTAAATTATTTTATATATGAAAAAAATCAAAATTCAACAGTTTTAAAAATTACAAAAGTGAGAAAATTTATTAGCGTATCTACGATTTTATTTATCAAAATCTAATCAAATCTGTTAACTTTTGTCATTTTCACCTCGTTTCAAGATACACAACCGACCTCCAGACGTACGCGGCGGTTTATTTTATCGACTTTAAAAGTTGGCGGGAAGTCGACTTTCCGTCATGACGGGAAGTCGACTTGAAGTCGACTTCTACCAAAACTGACTTGCCCGAGAAGTCGACTTTTTTAAGGACAAAAGTCGACTTGAAGTCGATTTGAAATCAACGAATGTCTCAAAAAACGCCGACTAAAAGTCGGCGTTCGTCATTAATTTTCATTTGTAACTCGGCCAGATTTATTAATTGCTGGAGAGCTTCTTGTTTTGGTCTGGGTTTGCTAGTTCATTTAGTGTTTCTATAAGTAATTGTTTTGCGGCTCCATTTGTTAAAATACTGCAATTATTGTAAAACATGCTACTTAATATATTTAAACCTGACGATAATTTAATACAATTTTGTTTTTTACTTGAAATCCTTTATACGAATCTTTTATCCTTTATACTTGTTTCAATGGAAGCAAACTATAAAAACTAAAGAAAATGTTATAAATTATTTCTTCCTAATAAGGACAAACATATAAAAGAGGATAAATATTTATATCTTATTTTAAAACTTAAAAACACTTTAAAAATTCCAGATGCAATATAGAAATAATAATAAAGAATAATTACACACACTATTTTATATTACAAGTGCGTCTAAAGTTTAAAAAAGGACTTGCGGGGGGGTAAGGGGGGCGAAACCTCCCCGAGTTGAGAAAAATGGGCACATACGGGAGGGTTCGGGGGGGGGGGGGGGCACCCCCCCCCGAGTCGAAAATCGAGGCGCAGGCGAGAAGGGGGGTGCAGAGCCCCTCCCCCCGCCAATAATAAAAGTAACGTTTATTACAGGAGCAAACAAGATGTGATAAGAAAGGTGAAACAACATTACGTATGCGCAGTAGTCCAATGTCTTGACCAATAAGAATTGGGTCAAAATGCTCGTAAGCTCGAGGCGTCTTCGTTTCGCAGTTGCCTTTGCAGGTTAGGTTTTCGCCGGCTCATAGTTCGAGGGAACGGTGCCGGCACGTGCCGGGCTTCACGATGATCCGCGTTTCGTTCCCGGAAGACGCGATCCCGACGACGGACGGCTTATCGATCGTCCTGGCGTGCGAATCCGCGCGACACACGTGCACACACATACACACCCGCTACGCGACTTTTCGACGATTTCGGGTACACGAGAAATTTTAAAACCTTCCCTACTTTACCTACATTACCATTACTGCCTTTACCGCCTAACTGACTCGTCACCATGACATAACCTCAATCCTACCACGTTCTCTAAACACTTCTATACTACTTTTCTCTATTTGCATCCTACTATCTCCTTTCATTCTCATCGCATCCCCTACTTACACCCTATTTTTCCATTATTCCTACTTGTCACATACTAATCTTTAAACCCAGAAACAAAGCTAAAATCGCACAACGCACTTTCATCGCTACCATTCACATACGCGCCATCTAACCAAGTTCAGCTTTAAAATACTTATAACTTTAACTTTATAACTTTAAACCTTAAAGATTTAACTACATGAGATAAATATCCTTAAAAATTTGCTTCCATGTAACTTTTAAGTTAAGATCGAGATTTATAAAAAAACTTTAAAGTTTAGTGTTTTCTTATGATTACCTAAGATTTATTAAAATTACTTTAAAACTACTTTTCCATTCCTTTAGAGTACCAGAATACTATTTTAAAGTCAGTTTTTAAAACCTTTGATTTTCTAAGATTATTTTACAGTCAGTTTTGAAATACTTTAAAATTTCTTAGATTACTTTAGATTAACTTTGTACACACTTTAATTTACCTAAAAATTTCTTAAGTAAACTTAAATTTTTAAAATTACTTTTAAGAACTTTAAAGTTATTTAAAGTATATTTTCCCAAGGGAGTGCGCGCTATCATTCACGGCTATAGACTTTCTGTAAATAATTAGACATATTCAGACGTTAAATAGACTTTGTTTTATTGTATTGTATCCGGACTTGCTGTTTTTTTTGTGGTCGTCTTTCACCTCGCGCTACCGCGTGCTTTTAAACAATATTTCTCAAAATTTTAGTTTAGCATATTTTTAGCATATTTAGCGTTTCTTTTTTTTTCTTTTTTCTTTTTATTGTCGTCTTTACGTTTTCGCAAAATTTTTTTTCTCTATGTTTGAGATTGTGGAATTTAGTACCAAAAATCGCTTTCAGTTGCAAGCCTGTACTCGCGCGCGTTCGATTAATTAGAAATTTTGCTTCAAATTAGTCATGTTAATATTTAGTATAGCATGGATCTTTCTATCATTCGCGTTCCAGAAAGTTCGCTGACATTCTCAGCAACAACAAAATCAAGCTTTGTTCGACGATCCGAACGACTTATCCGCTCTTACACAAAGGAAAGGTCCATGCTATAAACATAATGAATAAAAACAAGCAACGATCTCGTCGGGTCGTCTAACGAAACTTTGCCGTGAGCACGATGACGTAGGCCGCCGATGGCCAATCACCCTACCGAAATTCGAGCCTACGCATGTGGCCACCAATTACGTAATGAGTCCTCGAATATTCTCTAATGTTTGTAAAACGCGATAAACTTATTGGTGATTGGCCCGGAAAGAGCCTCGTCTCGTAGGTAATAAAAGGAGGCCGCCGCCGCGCCGCGGAACCGCTCTCGCTCGCAGATCATCCACCTAGTATTATACATTTACGACCGCTTGTACACCGCTTTTCGCTTTGCAATTTGCACTCGCTAGATTTCGCCGCTTTTGCCATACTAACTTCTGTGCGCGCTCACGGCGTTTTCTTCTGTGGAAATAAATTAAGAACTCTGTACATATTGTAAATATAGATTTTATTTTTGGCATTTTTGTACTTGCTGTTTTCTTTTTTTGTGGTCGTCTCTTTACCTCGCGCTACACCGCGCGACTGCGTGCTTTCGAACATTCTACTATTTTTCTGTTTTATTTCTTCCTCCATTTGATTATCTTCATATGCTATGAAATTTCACAATTTATTTATTTTTTTTTAATCCAAATTTTACATTATTATATTTTTTATGCTTTTTCTTTTACTTTTGTCGTTTTTGTCGTGTTTATCCTTTATCACATTATTTTTCTGTTTTATCTCTTCCTCTCTTTGATTATCTTCATATTCTAATAATGCTTGCAAAAGAATTTTATTAAAACCATCTTCCATCACTAAAATGTTAAAATAATAATATTTAACTTTTATTAATTATAATTACACGGAAATAATTTTTTGTTATAATTAAATTCACTACAAAAATTAGATAATATATTTTTAGAATTATTATTGTTATTCCTGTAAAATTCCTGTAAAATTCGTAATTTATTGCATATCCCCACAGGTTTCGCAATCTACTACCAATACTACCCTTCTCCTCTCACTTTAATCCTTTGGACCAACGGCTTAACGTCTCTTTCCGAAAGACGGAATTATTATTGTTATTAATAATTCTAAAAAATATTAAATGACATATACTTATATACTTTTTAAAATTTAATTAACCTTCAACGATGTATGAGCTCAAACACGCACGTGTGTGTGCGTGTGCGTGTGCGTGAGTGTGTGTGTGTGTGTGTGTGTGTGTGTGTATCTTTAAACTATTAATATTAAAAGCCATGGCTTATACACAGAGAAAATTTTCTCTTAGAATTTACTTTGAAAATCATAATAGTTGTAGGACATGTATCAAGAAAAATTTTATGCGAGCTATTCTGATTATTGTAGTGAGTTTAAGGTAATTCTATAGAATAGGGTCTTTTCCGAATTTTGATATTTTCTTGCGGTTTTCTTGGTAAAAACCTTTGTTGTGACTCCGACAGTGATAATCAATCGGGGGAGCCCGAAAAATATGCACCCTACCTATTTTTTTACCTATTTTTACTTTATTTTTGGTAATTATGTAGTATAGGAGACCACCCTCCCATGACCTTGATTTTTTTTTACGAGGGGGGGAAGGAATTCATGCGGATACTCCCTTCCCCGGGGCGGGGAGGGCGGTCATGTGGGACTTTAACCCACTAAAACCCCCCCGGGTGTTCCTCTCGGCGTTAATGTGGGGAGGCTCCGGGAACTTGAGATATCTACCATGAGCCTCCCCGCTCCCATGACCTTGACATATATTGTGAAGGTCACCATCCTGAGTGACTTTTAGAAGGTTTTAGCCCTCGGTCATTGTTTCTTAAAAAGTTATCAAAAAAAAATTTAATGAATAAAATGTAATTTTTTGACACCGTATATAGACTATATGCTTTCATATTACATTCTTCACTAAGCATAAGTTGTCCTTGTGATTACCTTTTCTACTGTTGTTGATATTTCTTGCGAATTTGAAACTGTACTCTTCAAAAATAAGCCAGTATACGATAGGTTTTCGTACCAAAATCAGTCCTTTTAAGGACTACTATATATTTATAACGTTGGGAGGTTTCGAAAGCCATGTTGGAAAAAATAGGAAAAAATAAAGTAAAAATAGGTAAAAAAATAGGTAGGGTGCATATATAAGTTAGTTGACGCGCTTTAAACACTTAAGGGGGCATATACCTTTCTCGGACCAAAAAAACAGCATATTTCACGATTTTTTTCCGGCGAAAATATAAAAGATACGAGGATCGGGTTTTTCGCAAATAAAAGTACATATTTTAAAGTGCATTTCCTGATTTTTGTTTTTTATTAGTGATGGAAACCCCTTCCCCTACAGCCCCTTGACCTAGGCCTGCTTTTCATGTAGGATTTTGCGATACCGGCGGAATCTCCGAGCTGGTTCATCTGAAGACAAAAAATAAAA